TAAAATAAATAAAAATATATATTTATTTTATAAAAAAATTAATTAAAAAATATATGAAGAGGACATATAGCGTGGGACCCACCGGATAACTCAATCGGTGTGTGGTTGACCCCACTATGAAGCTGGTAGTGTGTGGAGAACAATGTTGCGGCGCGTGTTATCATCGGAGGGACATATGGCAGCGCGTGTTGTGCAAGCGCCTTCCCCAAGAGTGGCAAAAAATTTTTTTAAAGAATTTCTTGATCCAGCATCTTCTTGGGGCTCGTGCCAGTGCATGTGAGACCAGATTGAGACAAAAATTTGTCTTAAAAAAATTTCTAAATTCGAGATCTTCATTTTGGTATATAATTTACATATTTTTTAAGATAGAATAATAATTTATTTTTTGAGTTATCTAGTGCTTTTTACAAGTCTAAAAAAATTTCTAAATTTTTTTATTTTTATTTTTTTAGGAAAAAATGAAGCAAGAGGCTTTTAGCAACACTGATAACTCAAAAAATTATTCTATCAACATTGAGTATCTGGATGAACTAGATTATGAGCCTCTTAGTGAGGATTCTGACCCAGAACCCTTCGAAGAGGAGGAGGAAGAATATGAACCTCAAAGTGAGGATTCTGATTTTGATCCTGAAGAAGATCCTAATATTGATTTTGAAAATGTACTAGAAGGACTTAAAGAGGTGCGTATGCTGTCAGGACCAAAACATGAATCAGAGGGTGATGCGAATGTTCAAAATAAAAATGAAGATTTCGAACAACTTTTCACACTCTCAGTGATCATAAATATAGCAAAAAGAGAAGCTAAAAGAATAAAAAAATTGGATCAAATTTCTTTGATAGTCAGAGCATATTCAAGCTTCATAACAAAAGAAGAACAAGTCGTGGTTGCATGAGAAATTTTCAAACAACTTAGGAAGGAAGTTGTGAGACATAACAAGCGAAACAAGTCATACTCTGAAAATCCTCTATGGAATAGAGCCATCAAGGTGATGAAAGTATAAGAAAAATATAAAGACATAATTAAGAGTTGTCTTTTTAGGTCTGTGCCTTAAGCATTATTCTATTTTTTCAAGAATTTGTTTTTATGCTATATTAAGACCTTGATGATTTATGAAATATATGAAGCATGTTGTTTTATATTTAATTGCTTTATATATATTTTATTTGAGTAGGAGCTTTAAAGTGATAAATCATTTATGAGCTATATGTAACGATTAAAATATTTGTAAAATTCTTTATAGATGATAGTAATTTTATTAGAATCAATGTGATGAGAGATACAAACGTAGCCTCTTGATCGTTGACCTAACAGAGTTGTTATCACTCTAATAAAGAATAATACAAATATAAGACATTGTATGTTTCTCATTAGTATTTTATTCTTGGTTTAATATAGAAAACTATTAATGTGGGATAGTTTCGTCTTAGAACTAAGAATGGCAACAAAAGCATTATCGCTAAATTGAATAAGGGTGACAAATTAAACAGGAATAACTGGGATATCTGACACCGTAAGGTGTCATATATTTTGAAAGAACAAGATGTTGTTGAGCCATTGACTAAAGTTATGGCTGAGCCTGAGGCAGGAAACTTGGCTCAGCACAGGAGAGACCAAGAGGCATTTAAGACATGAAAATAAAAAAATAGCATCGCATGAATAACACTTCTAAGTGCTATGGCAGATGATCTAATGTGTGAATTTAAGAAGCACTCCACTGCCCAAGCCATGTAGGTTACCTTAAAAGAAAAATTTAGTGGTACCTCAACCACCAAATTGAGAAGGCTTACAATTAAATTTGACACTTATAAACTAAAGCCGAATACTCCCATGCGGCAGCACCTTAGAGAGATGGCCAACATGATTCATGAACTAAAAGAAGTTGGGCACAATTTTTTTGATGAACAGTAAGTACAGGTTATAATCAGATCTTTGCCACATATTTGGGAGCATATGAAAGTTAACTTAACCCACAATAAAAATATCGTTAACTTCAACGATATGGCTAAACACCTAGAGTTAAAGGCTGAACGTCTAGAGGCTTACAAGTCATCTAGACAGACTTACCTTGTCGAGGAAGGTGGTCCTTCAAATTCTAAGCCCAAGAGAGGCAAGAAGCAACATAAGAAGGGTGATAAGAGTGGCCCTAGAGTAAAGAAGGACAAACAACCTTTCAATAAAAAGGGCAAGAAGAGCAGCAAAAAGAGAATTAACCTTAAAAAGGTCAAATGTTTCGCCTGTTAAAAGATGGGCTATTTTGCAAAGGACTGTCCTGAGCAAAGTGGACATGATCAGGTACTTGTGAATTATGTGAATTCAAATTTTTCTTATGTTTTCAGTACTAACGGAAACTGTTTTCTCTTCTTGGATTGTAGACTTAGGCTCCATAGACCACGTAAGCAAGGATCGTGGATCCTTTATAGAGTACCATCGGTTGCCAAATCAAAGCAAGTGGCTTTACGTTAGCAACAATGCGAGGATCGAGGTAAAAGGCATAAGAACTTGCAAGTTAATCTTGCGAGGTGGAAAAATCTTAATTCTCCACGATGTTTTACATGCATCGGACATTCGACGAAACTTAATTTCAATTGCTTGCCTTTTAGAATTTGGGTTTGTAATTAATTTTCATGACAAGATTGTTGACATTATGTACAATTCAACTTTTTATGGTTATGCTTTTCTTTCAAAAAGGTTCTTTATAATGGATATTGTTGACCAAGTTCATTTTCATGATTGCTTTACCACCTCTTTCAATAATATAGATATGAATATTTGGCATGCTAGACTAGGGCATATTAATCAAAATAGAATGATTAAGCTAGCTACAGAATAAATACTAGGTCTAATTACAAATATAGAAATGTCCTTATGTGAAAATTGTCTAGCTGGTAAAGCAGCAAGAAAACCTTTTAGTAAAGGTGTTAGGACTGAAAATCCATTACAATTAATCCATTCTGATATATGCGGTCCTATGAGTATAAGGGCAAAACACAAAGCTTGGTATTTTATTACCTTTATCGATGATTTTTCACATTTTGGTCATGTCTATTTGATATCACAAAATTCTAAAGCTCTTGAGTGCTTTAGACGATACATTAATGAGGTTGAAAATCAAATGAATGATAAAATTAAAGCATTACGAACTAATCAAGGATGTGAATACTTGTTTGATCAATTTAAAGAACTCTGTAAAGAAAAAGGAATAATTAGACAACTAACTATTCCTAGCACTCCGTAACAGAATGGAGTTGCTAAAAGAAGAAATAGGACTCTTCCAGACATAGTTAGGTCAATAATGGCACAAGCAAATCTTCCAATCTCATATTAGGGGGATGCTTTACTAACTGCAACCTTCATACTTAATCGTGTGCCCTCAAAATCAGTTACTTCCACACCCTATGAGTTATGGACAAAACGCAAACTGGATTTAAATATCTTAAGACCATGAGGGTTAGCTGCATATGTCCATGATAATTCTCATAAATATGGAAAATTAGGTCTAAGAGGAAAGAAATGTATCTTTATAAGATACTCTGAGCAATCAAAGGATTATGTTTTCATTGGTGAAAATGATGATGGAACTGTAACTGAATTTGAATTTAGGAATATCATATTTTTAGAAAATGAGTTTCCTAGCAAGGGAGAAATTGATCAAACTATATCTTTTTACGAGACACGAGAGCAACATAATATAGAACACATAGAAAGGCTTGAATCATCGCAAAATGCTGATTTAAATGGGAGCTTTAAAAGGTCTTCCAGAAGACTTAAAAAGAGTCAAAATTCACAAGAAACAACAACAAACAACAAACAACAACAACAAGCCTTTATAGTGGGATCGGCTACATGGATTGCAAGACGCCATTATGCTCTATCATTTATCAAGCTTTTAGAAATATTATTAATTAAGAGATCGCGCTCAACAACTTCCAAGAGTGTTCTCTTAGGCCTTCCTCTACCTCTCTTAATTGGACTCAAAGTTATATGTTCCACTCTTCTTACTGGTGCCTCCCTTGGTCTTCTATTGTCCATGTTCATGATAGATTCAATAAAGTTTTACATTGGCTGTTGATGGCCTAACACAACCCTCCTCCTTTACCTGGGCTTGGGACCGGCTATAAACATAGGTGGAGTTTCAAAATTCACAAAAAACCCCACTTTAAAAAAGTAATAGAGAAAGTGTGCCAAAAAGACGCTTCCAAATTGAGGGTGAAGCATTGGTGGTAACTCCTTTAGATGATAATGAGCCACGTTTTGTAAATGAAGCTTTAATAGGACCTGTTAAGGATAAGTGGAAGAAAGCAATGGATGAAGAAATGGATTCTATGAGGACTAACAAAGTATGAAAATTGATAAAAGAAAAGTGCATGGATCAATTGATAAATACAAGGCTCGCTTAGTAGCGAAAGGGTATACACAACAAGAGGGAATAGATTATGAGGATATATTTTCTCTTATTGTGTGCTTCAATTCTATCAGACTGATTATGGCAATAGTAAATAGTCTGGATTTAGAGTTGCACCAGATGAATGTAAAGACTGCTTTTCTAAACGGTGATCTGGATGAAGAAATTTATATGCAACAACCATTAAGTTTTATTGAAAAAGGAAAAGAAGATAAAGTATGTAAATTAAATGGATCAATTTATGAACTAAAACAATCATCCAGACAGTGGTATTTGAGGTTTCACAGAGCAATAATCTCATATGACCTCTAAATAATTGAGGAAGACCACTGTGTTTACATCAAGAGGTTCAACGGGAACTTTGTAATATTATTTCTTTATGTGGATGATATTTTACTAGCAGGAAATAGTCTAGATTCAATAATCGCTATTAAAGAATGGCTTTCGTCAAATTTTAAAATGAAAGACATGGGTGAAGCAGAATATATTCTTGGAGTTAAAATCTAAAGAAATCGCTTTAAGAAGCTTCTTTATCTATCACAAGAGAATTATATAAGGAAAATTTTTGAGCGTTTTAATATGAAAGATTGCAAACCCATGGATACCCCAGTAGCTTCAGGTGTGAAGCTTAGTCCTGATATAGGTCCTAAAACTGAGATAGCCAAAAGGAAAATGGAAAGAATTCTATATGCCAGTGCAGTCGGAAGTTTGATGTATGCAATGATGTGTACAAGATCAGATATTTGTTATGCCATAGGACTTGTGAGTCGCTACCAATCTAACCCCAGAGAAGGACATTGGAAGGTTGTAAAGAGGATCTTAAGATACTTAAAGGGTACTGTTGACTATGTATTATGTTATTAAGGGAGTGATCTACACCTGACAGGATACTCCGACGCGGATTTAGGTGGAGATGAAGATGAACGAAGATCAACTTCAAGCTATACTTTCTTGCTAAATAATGCAGCCATTTGTTAGAGCAGCAAGAAGTAGACATGCATTGCCCTACACTTTATGGAAGTTGAGTTTGTAGCATGTACTGCAGTAGTGCAAGAGGCTATATGGCTAAGAGATTTATAGAACATCTTGGGTTTGGAAATGAAAGTACAAATCCAATATTAATTCATTGTGACAATATTGCAGCCATAACCTATACTAAAGATCTTAAATATCATAGCAAAACCAAACACAGAGACATTAAGTACAATTTTGTAAGGGATTATATAGGGCAAAAGGTTATCACTGTTCAATACATTTCCACGAAGTGTATGATAACAGATCCCCTAACAAAACCCATAGCCAAGGAGATATTTGAGAAACACGTAAGGGCTCTTAGCATGGCTATATTGACTTGATGTAATATATCGGTTATATTGATGAGATTTTTCATTACTTCCATATGTGTACAATTAAGAACATACAATGTCTAGAATGTCGTATAGGTTGATAAGGTTGACTCTCTCACACGAGCAACTACCTTTGACATTGAAATCAAAGATGAGACATTAGTGTTCATCAGCAAGGCAATAAAAAAATGTTGATACAGTAGAAAAGAAACACAAATCATATGTCATCTCAATCAAAGAGCAAGTCAAGATGATATCCGTAAGCATACTTAGATCGAGTCATGGATCCTCATATCTATGATACCTGTAGCCAAATAACAAATTCTTTTAAATTGACATCATATGAGATCAATAGAAAAGAAGAATTTGGGTTTAGGTACAATAAATATCTAAACTTAAGTTTGTATGATGCTAATAATAAATGAAAATGACATACGCTCTTATAAGCAAGAGTAACACCATAACATGTATTTCATATCACATGTGCTTAAGAATCGCAATAGGAAGCAAGTGAATAAATCCTTGCTTCATTGCTGTGTGAGTCCTAGAAAGGAAAAATTTTTTCATTGATGTCCTTTGACTTTGACATTATTATAAAGATATGTTACAGTGTCTGCTACTTTAACATACACCTTATGGTCATGATTGATGCGACCTAAAGGTTTTATGTTAGAAAAGCGACTGTTTCCTATCAAAGTGGTATATGGGCGAAAGGAAGATTATCTTATATATACACATTTATGCTTGTATTCAAGACATGTCCTTTATGAAATAATTTGTGAATTCATAAGTGTGGATACTACACATATAAGAGAGACTATCTGAGATTTGGACTGACTTAAGAGGGATCAGATTAGTTAAATCTAGGACATTAAGGCACGAATTTAATCAAGAATAAATTTAATTTTAAAGTTATTTGTGCTGGTCCTTAATAGGATTTCCTATTTCCTAGTACAAACAACTGAAACGAAGACGTCAAGCCTATGTGATCACGGCAAAGCACCTAGTATGAAGAGAGGAAAGAGAAAGAGATAGGACTGACATTATCTTATCCACCAAATGTGAGTGGGAGATGTTGGGTTATCTACCCTTAGTAGTTCAGGCCCATATAAAAGCCCAAATTGGGGAATGGGGCTCTTGTGATAATTATGAAAAATGTTTGGGTTCAAAATGTAATTTACTCAGGGCCTTAAAACGTATATTGTCTAACCTTTGAATTTGAATTATGAGCGGTTAGAGAAACTGCCGCATGTTCCCATAAGAGGTAGTTATGGATGTAGTTTCAGTTGGTTCATTTTTTTTGTTCTCTGCGTGAAGAAAGAAACCGAACACTCTCATTTTCCAATCGACTTATTTTTCTCCTTACAACTCATTTTCTTAGAGAGTGCGTTTGCTGTGTATTTGAATGAAGTTCGACCGGTGTAACTTTGTTCTCGCATACATACGTGTTAATTAACGACTCAACTTATGTTTTTCCTCCTCAATTTCTTTTAGTTAGAATTTATGTTCTTGAGTTTTATGGTCAAGTTAATAGGGTGAAAGTATATTTTTTTAGCACAGGTACATTCTTAGGTAAATTTACCACTTCAATTGTATTTACCACTTGAACATGTGCATCTAATATTAAAAGCAAAGTTACCCTTTTTAGCATATTATTATAGTAGAAAGAACTAAACATATTACTTTTGAATCACTTATCACATATGTTTTGATTTCAAATTTACAGCTACATCTTTGTAAGTGAAGGCGACAAAATATTTCTATGTGACAAGATCATGATTATCATTTTCAATAAATTGTCTCTGAAATCCTAATCCAATTTCAATGTGTGTGCAAACATTGAAAAAATCTCTTTAAAACTCCGTCTTTTGTCATTGATCTCCTCAGACACTCCAGTCACCAGAAGGCTTGTCTTCTCCTTGATCGGCAACGTGTTAGATATGATCCTTCATATTTTGTTAAAGTTCACAAAATACCTTTAATCACTTCCTTCTCCCATGTTAAAATCATTGGTCCCAAGTCAAGCTATGCAAAAGTCTACCGGTCTTGTCCGACCCAGTCTAATCTAAGATGGTCCTATCTTGTCCGGTTCTTATAAACATTAGTCCTTCAGGATCAAAAAGACTAAAAAGACTAGACTATTTTTTTGGGTGGGACTGGATAGGAGATTAGGCATCTAGACCACTTGGTTCAGTCCTCTTAGTTTATTTAATATAATTATAATTAATTTATTTTTGACAAATGTTTTAAGTGTAATTTACACTAAGGAGATGATTGCATGAAGATTTGTTGAGTTTGTTTCAAAATTATTGTTATAATTTAGTATTGTTGAAGTTTGTTAAGTATTGTTTTTGTTAAAATTATAAATTTAAATCATTTAGATTGTAACTAAAATATTGTTTTCTTGTTGAAAATTATTTGAGATTTATTATGATTATAAGTGATCTTATTATCTTAATTGAGTTTATTAAGTTAAAATGAATTATTGCCTCTCATAGAAGAAAAAGTAAAAAAAAAAAAAGCTAAATGAGTATTGGACTAACAGGACGAGTCTTCCAATCCTATGGACCAAGTTTAGTCCTGTTAATCTTCAAGTTATTACTAGACAAGACCGGACTACGGCTTGCTTAACCCAATCTTTTTTATGAAAGAGATCAGATTTCAAGTTAAGATAAAGTCTAATACCATTCAGTCTTTTGTGCAGCCCTAGTCCTAGTCAAGGATGATTCTCTCTTGAACTCAATAATTGTGCGATGCCTCTTCATTCCCTCTAATTGTGAAATTTAGACAGGGAGGTCAAATAGGTGGCCAGAACTATCAATGATTTTAATGGAGATTGGTATTTAGGATTTGGGTTCAGTCGAATTATTGACAATTACAAAATAGTGGGAGTTTATAGCCCCACGTTTAATGATCAAGTTCATAGGATAGAATTATATTTATTAATTAACCACATTATCCTGGAAGGGAGTAGAATTTGGGAAATCGAGGACATGTTTGATTTCTATTGTCATTTTTTAATTTTTTTAAACCTATTTTGTAAGACAATTTTTAAAATTGTTTTCCAAAACAAAAAATAAAATGAAAATTCATTTAGTTATATCAACTAAAAAATAATTTTAAAATTTAAAAATAGACAAATATTGATAGTTATAAATGGTTAATAATGGTGATTAATAATAAAAATTGATGAGATAACTATAATTTTTAATAATCAAATATAGTATATTTTAAAAATAAGAAAAATAAAACAAAAATAACTTGAAGTTGTTTTTATTTCTTTTGTTTTTAAAAACAAAAAATAAAAATATTTTTGAAAACAATTAAATGAAAATCACTTATTCAAATAAGTTTTAAAATTTTTCTGTTTTCAAAAACAAAAAACAGCTTTTAAAAATAGGAAACAAACAAGCCCTAAATGTAGTTAGTATTTTTTTTTATAACTTACATTTATTCTCTTATTGAAAATAATTCTATTTGAAATACAATCAAGCATTAAATGTGAGTACCTCTTCTAGTTGAGATTTGAACTTATAGTTCACTATGGTGTGAGAAACTAACTAATTTCGCTAAACCTAATCTTCATTAGTATGTTGTTGCAAGTTTTAGTTCTGAAACAGTCATTGTTAGTGGAACAATGTTTGGGGTTGGATTAATGCAAGGTAAATATAATGATTGGGATTTGATAGTTTCATTTGACACAGTAAAGGAAGAGTTTAAATTGATATAGATTCCTCCTTTATGCTTTGACGCAGCTGATGTTAAGCTTATGCAGTATGTGAACAAACTTCTCATGCTTTCTCATATAATAATTGGAAACTTGAAATTTTCTTCAACACATTTGAACTAAATTCACAGTTTTAATAATTAAAAATATATAAATTTAAATTTTATTTTAATCTCTTTATAATTTTAAATTTTTCATAAACTCTTATTATTTAAAATTTTTTATCGAAGCCTCTCTTTTCCTTCACGTTCGCTCATCGAAGTCGATGACGCTGCTTCGAGCTGAGTTCTACTGAGATCAAACCACCAGCGCAAATCAGGATAAGATCCCTGACGACGACAGAGGCTGCATGGTTGGCGCCGATTGAAACCGAACTATTAAACCAGGTATGGATGAGATAATACTCGTTGTACATGCAAGAAATTTTCTTAATATTCGATCGTTAGAATTGCATCTTGTATGCATGTTATTAAAAACAGTTTTTTCCATTGAACTCTAGCGACCCAAACCCAACTGTCTTCTTTCTACTATTGTAATCCGAAAAGTGATGCTGAGGAATCCGGTCGAGCCGAGCACCGTGAAGCTGAAGCGGACGGGAATGGACAGAGACATGCCATTTCTTCCTGAAGAAATCATCCGAAACATTCTCATACGACTACCGGTAAAATCCCTAACCCGATTTCAATGTGTGTGCAATCATTGGAAAAATCTCATCAAAACCCCCACTTTTATCGCCGATCACCTTCAACACTCCCGTCTTCAAAACCCTTCTCTTCTTCTCGAATGGTCTGGAAGCATTCCTTTGCCCGGGCGCTTGCGTTCGCTCGATTGCGAGATGCAGGTCCGTGAAGTTCAGAATGCACCATTGATCGATTCTTTGGAGGGTGCTTGTATCGTCAGTTCCTGCAACGGCCTTCTCTGTATTGAAATCGATGAGTGTAGCAAACCTCCTTCCCTTTTATTATGGAATCCTGCGACTACAGAGGTCAGACGTGTGCCTAGAAACAGAAATGATTTTATTGAATTTGATTATTTCGTTGTAGGATTTGGGTTTAGTCCAATTGTTAATGATTACAAGATAGTGACAACTTATGTTGAGTTTGGTGATGAGGTTAATGGAGTGGAAGTTTTTTCGTTAAGCAGAGGGTCATGGGAGGGAAGAGATATTGGGAACTTAAAGGGGGTGACGCTTGATCCTGAAACTGTCACCGCTAATGGAGCTATATTTTGGTTTGGGTGGTTAAAGCTAGGTGCAGAGGGTGAGGGTGTTGTTAAGATGATAGTGTCATTTGACATAGCAAAGGAAGTCTTTACATTGATACCAATGCCTGATTTAAATCATGATGCAGCATTTGAAAGACTTACTTTTTATGAAAATAAACTTGCTGTACTTTGTGGCATTTGGGAAGATGACGATAAGGACGACGATGACGATGATGATGATGATGATGAAATATCTGAGTTGATTGATTTGTGGGTGTTGGATGAGGGTACATGTGAATCAGGGGAGAGATGGAGTTGGAATACAAGATATGCCAGCAGCCCCTTTTCATGCATACTATATCCAGAGGCTATTTGGAGGGATGAAATTGTCTGCCAACGTTCTTCTTTAGGGGATATTGAAGAAGGAGGATGTTCTCTATATCTGATGAATCTCACTACTAATGAAGTTAAGAGTTTTGTCTTTCCCGATTATGTCCATGGTATTTACAATTATGTGGAAAGCCTTGTATCAGTTGGCGACAACTGCATTGAAGAATCTTGATCCGAGATCGTAAATTATTACAATGCAGATTTACATTGTTGGTGGAATGGAATCTCTAATATTTTAGATCATCTTGTGCCTGTAATGTTTGGTGTTATGTAGAGTTATCTAGAATGATGAATGCAGATATTTAACACCGGATGTGCCTAGAATTTGGGACTACCAATGGTTTGTTTATTTGAAAAATGTATCTCTAGTTTATTAATATTGTTTGCTTTGAAGTTTTGTTCATTCATATGTGTGCGCGTGCGCTTAAACCTGGGGATGGGATTGGAAATTTTGGAAATTCTGTTATGTGTGGGTGCATTTTCATGCTTGTCCATTGGAACTTGGAAGTGGACATTCTTAGCTTTATCTGTTAGATTTCATTATGATGTCACAATTTGATTTGAAGTTTTGTTCGTTCATTCATGTAATGCTGCGCCTAAACTTAGGGATGGGATTGGAAATTTTTGAAATTAAGTTATTTGTGTGGGCATTTTCATGCTTTGGCATTGATTTATTGAAACTGCTTTGGTCTCCAGTGGAAGTTAGTTTTATTAGACCTATCTACCATATCAAGTTGTGTAGTTTTCTTTAAAAATTGGATATGTGTGTGTGTGTGTGTGTGTTGTAATTGCTGGTGTGTGATCATCTGGGACTTGTCCATTATATTGGTGTTATATCGTCTTGGTTTTATATCCTTTGAGAGAGGGGACAAAAATAAGAGAAGCAAATCTTGTGCCTTTACATTTCTTTTGTTGTGGAGAAATGATTAGTTTTCTTTAATAAATGAATTAAATACATTGATTTGTGCAAGCAGATTTCTATCTTATTAGGTGCTGGTGTGTGCTCTTTGGATCATTGCTGAACTAGAATCAGTATTTGTTTAGAGTGTTCTGTCTAGTTTCACCATACAAAGTCTTTGATATCTAATGCTCTTCCTAGTCATGCTTAGAAGAACCCTAATGGCTCATTTGGTAGCATGGAGTTGGGGAGAAGGGAGAGCAAGTGGAAGTGAAAGTGAAAGTGAAAGTAGAGCCAGTATTTTTGTGTGTTTGATACATTGGAGGCTAGTTTTCTATGGAACTCAATTCCATTAAAAACGGTGGAAGTGGGTTCCTTGGCTTATCCCATGGAAGTGAGTTTCATGTCTCCATTGGATTCCTGTGCTGCTACCTTCTCCTTCTCCTTTCTTACTGACTGCTCACTATGACTGACGCCCTATCAGTGATGGCGTTCGCCCAATAGTGACGATGGCAGCGATGGCGATTCTCTGTTAACAATGATAGCATGAAAATATATAAGTTGAGTATAATATCAACAATAGGAAGCAGCAAAAAGGTCCATGGCTTCTGATGTTAGAAATAAAGCTCTCACAGTCGCGATGCCCATGCAAAAGGAGAAGGTTCAATAAAGAGAGTGATGGCAATGATGATTCTCCAATGGCATAGGAGGCACTATCAATTTCTTCCTTTGATAGTATGAACATTTGACGGCAGCAACATTGAGCAGTGGAGGCTCCAATTTGTGAATCACAGCCTTCGATTTCTTACTTTGATTTGTGTTCTTGTCTTCTTGCCTTCGATTTCTTTGCCTTCTTGTGTTCTTTTTTATTTCTACATTTGATTCTTCATTTGATTTGTACTCCAATAATAGTCATGAGCAGTGGTTTGAGATTGGTAGACGGCGGTGGTCATGAGGTTTTAATTTTAGGGGTATTTTAGTCTTTTTAAAATATAAACATAATATTGAATAAATTTTTTACCTCATTTCCTCCTGCATACCAAACATATTTTTAAACATTAGTTTTACTTTCATTTCCACCTTTACTTTCCTTTTCCCTTCCACTGAAGTGGAATTGAAATTTTAGTACATTTAGCCAAGAACAAGCTTTCTTGTGGAAGTCACTTCTATAGGAATCGATGGAATTGGGTTCCATCAAAGGGTGGAACTAGGCAACTCTCATGGAACTGTAGGTAAGATGACACTTTTGTCTCTTGACTCCTTTCCAAGAAGATTCAACCATCGACCTCTCTTTTTCCTTCTACCTGATTGACATCATCTTCGACCTCCTTCCACTTTTGCCAACAAGTCGACGACCAACCTCTCCTGCTTCGTCTTCTTTCCCTTCTTCTCTAGCTTTCCTCTCCTTCCTTCCTCACTCTATCTTCCTCCTTTCTCTCCTTCACTTTCCACTTACAACTTCCATTGATGCCAACGATGATGAAGAGGACAACAATGACGATGACAACCCTGGGACAGTGCGAAACTAATATCTGTCACTTCCTCATTTTCCGGGTGCAATGTTGCGATGACTATTTTTTACTTGAAAGCCAGAGCTTCAGGATTTCATGGCAAATCAGTGACGACATCTCCCTCATATCTTTGCCATTGCCACTCCCTTCTTCAAACCCCATCTATTATGTTTCTTGGATCTCCATCAGCATCTTGGGTTTTTTTTGTCCAAATTAAACGTAATTCTTTTTTTTTTTTAAGATTGAGTCAATGAAATGTTATATTAATTCACAATTAATGGTGACGTTATGATCCATATGTACGCAAGGAGTTGGGATGAGTTGTGCCTTTGGATATGCAGGATTTCTCCACCGTTGTGTGCATTAAGTTGAGAAGCTGACGGTTGCGACTTGCAAGAAGACGATGGGGATTTTTTTTTTTTTTTTAAAAGGCATGGGTATTTAGGTCCTTTTAAATTTGAATATATTTATTAAATAAGATTTTTATCCCTTTTCCACCTATAGAGAAATTCTTAGAGAGGCTAGGTGTGTTACATCATTTGTGATTTGTTTAATAAAAACTCTACCCTTACAAATATATAGGTAATTCGGTTTTCATTTTTACCTGGCATGCCATTATTTGGTTACTCAAATCAATATAAATTTATAACAAGTATATGCATCTAGTTTGGAAAGAGAAATATTGATTCATGAGTTATTAATTCATTAACTCCCTCTCTTAAAATATATATGTGTGTGTGTGTGTGTAATATTTTAAATTGAATTACACCCAAATAAATTAATTAATTATCTTTAAACTAATAGCATTATGTCATATTTGTCATTGTTTAATGAAGTGTCTCACTTAAAAGGTAAATGATTCATTGATTTATTTAAGGGTATTTTTTTTAAAAAAATTCATCAATTATACATTAAAAAACTAAAAATATCTTATATTTTTAACATTTAACCTCAAAAAGAATGTCTTATACTTTTTTCAAGGATTGGGTATTTTTTTTTTAACATGAAATATTTATTTAAGAATATGGATTTTTTAGTAGATTTTAAGGGATTCATTATTAACGTTGTAAACTCCAAACTCTACTTTTGTTTTTTTTTTTCTTTTTTGGAGGGGGCAAGTGCTCCAAATTCTACCGTGGCTATGTTCCTTGATAATTATATATTCTTATTCTTAATGAAGTAATGTCATTTAGAGGGTTGCAAAATTTTAAATAAATACATTATTATTTTATATTTCTGGCAGCTTGAAAATAAATGTTATTGTTAAGGCAAACATTGGATGATTTTGGAATTTGAACCTCTTCAGCTTTCAATAACAAACATCATAGCAAAGGATATAAGCATTGATCAATGGTACACATTTATTTCACACTAAATTGACACTTCAAAACGTTTTATAACATAACCATAAAGCAAGTAAACATCCATTTACACTCGAGCAAACAGCAATGCAGACAAGAAAAGTGAAATTGTGGGGTAAACTTCGTTAGCTTTCTGCTAATGTTTTAAAAATCAAATCTAGTGGCGATAAATAACAATGATTAGTTGGATCATGATTTAATCAAGTTAGATCAATGGTCAAACTTGAGCTATACTTTGTTCGTCACTATATATAAAATATTTTTAATTAAATCTCGCAGATTAATAAAGGTTTTTTATGTAATTAAAATCATATAAAATCACAATAATTTTTTAATTTTGTCTCTAATAATGTCACAATTAATCTCATGGTGGTAGTAATGGTACGTAAAACACACAACTAATATTTCTTTCATTTTAGATTAACTGGTAAGGGGTTGCGTTAACTTAACCAATGATCTTGAGTTTGAATATTAAGTATGCAATTATGTTAAATACTTGTCAGGAAAGTTTTGCCACCAATGTAATGACTTAGCCCATGAATAATGGGTAGTTGTATAAAAACAATATCTCCTCTATTGTTCAAGATAAGGGCAAATTGTCTAGTTGTCTAATTATTTAAAAATATCATGACACCCTTTATATTAAAGGACAAAATAAGCTATTAAAAGGAACATTATATATAAGGGTGGAGGGAGTAATAATTAAATAAAAATAATTTTTAAATACATATATAAATAAAATATTAAAAATATTAGCAATATCATTATTGTTTTTAGGGTTGTTCAGCCGTCAAATACAGAGCTAGAACTTAGAGTTAGGGGATGCAAGATAATTTAATTTAAAAATAATATTTTTTAAAAAATAATAATTTAAATAGTTAAAATAATATTATACCAAAATTAAAATTGTAATAACATACTCCCTTTGTTAAAAAATATAAAGTATTTTTTGAGGGGTTGGATATTAAAAAATATAAAGCATTTTTAGTATTTTGAGGTATAATTAATGTGTTTCTTTTTCAAAAGTATCCATAATAAATAAATCACTTTATATTTATTTTAAAATGAAACATCTTATTAAATAAGGTTAAATATGAAAATATAATGCTAACTTGAAAACAATTAATTACTTTATTAGAAGTTGAAGATAATTCGTTCACTTTGATACCAAAGCCTGATTTTGATTATAATGCAGATGTGAAGTTTATTGTTTATGAGAACAAACTTGCTATACTTTGTGGCATTTGGGAAGATGATGATCAAAGATATGATTTGATTGATTTGTGGGTGTTGGATGAGGGTGCATGTGCATCTGGGGAGAGATGGAGCTGGAATAAAAGATATACCAGCAGCCCTTTGTCGTGCAGGTTAGAGCCAATGACTATTTGGAATTGCGAAATTGTCTGCAGAGAAGAGGATCATGAAACAGGAAGGAATGCTCTATATCTGATGAATCTCACCACCAAGGAAGTT